CCTCAGCCTCCCAAGTAACTGGGACTATAGTCATGTGCCACCATGCCTGGCTACTTTTGTATTATTTTGTGTAGAGATGAAGCCTCCCTATGCTTCCCAGCCTTCTTCCAAACTCCTGGCCTCAAAGTTAAGTGATCCTCCCACCTCGGCCTCCCAAAGCACTATAGGTGTGAGCCACAATGCCAGCCCTATATTGTGTAAAACATTTTAAGCACTTGTACTATACACAACTAAATATGCACACATAGAGTACTGTATTAAGTTATTTTCCTGGAGAGAGGATAGTACTTTATACATATCAACAGCATTTTATTTTCAGGGAAATACACTTTTTAAATGAAAACATTTTAAATATATATAAATGCACCGGAGATAAGAAGTAAAGTTAATCCTGAGTGTAGGGCCACATACACCTAAGGTGGCGGGTTTGAATCCCCAGCCCGGGCCCGCCAAACAATGATGGCTGCAACCAAAAAATGGCTGGGCGTTGTGGCGGGCGCCTGTAGTCCCAGCTACTTGGGAGGCAGAGGCAGGAGACGCGCTTGAGCCCAGGAGTTGGAGGTTGCTGTGACCTGTGATGCCATGGCACTCTACCCAGGGGGATAGCTTGAGGCTCTGTCTAAAAAAAAAAAAATCCTGAGTGTAGCGACTATGGATTTTTTTCCCTCATTGGTTATCCATGTTTTCCCAATTTTCTATCATTGGTGTGTATCCATCTGGGGCTTTTCATTTGTGAGGAGCGCCCTCAGCCAAAGCATCTGTCCCTCCTAGCTTCTCTCTCTTCTGTGCTTCTCAAATGAATCTGTTAGAAGCCTGTTAAAACGGAGATAGAAGATGGGGGCTGTGGACCGCCCTTGTAGTCCCTGTTACTCGGGAGGCCACGAGTTCGAGGCTAGTCTGAGCAAAGCGAGACCCAGGTCGCGGCGTTTTCCCAGAACACAAACCACCGCCCAGGGAGGAAGACGCGTTAGATCTGACATTTGCCCCAGTGCACCCGCAGCTCCGAGGCCGGGGAGCGAGGCCGATTAGCCTGGGTGAGCGCCGCGTCACGTGAGCGTTACGTCACGTGAGGCCGCCGTCCAATCGGGGCTCTCGCTCTCGCTCGGCCCTGTGGGTAGCGGGCCGGCACTCGGAGCGGTGGCGGCTGGCACCATGGCCATGAGGGTGCAGTCCCCGGGCGGCGCCGTGGCGGCGACCGCCTACCCTGACACCCCTGCCGAATTTCCCCCGCACCTCCAGGCGGGCGCGATGCGGCGCCGTTTCTGGGGCGCGTTCAACTGTCTGTGCGCCGGCGCGTTCGGGGCCCTGGCCGCCGCCTCCGCCAAGCTGGCCTTCGGCAGCGAGGTCGAGCCCAGGGCGCTGCTGGTGCAGGGGGCGGGAGGGAGGGCGAGCAGGGAGGGGTGGAGGAGGGGCGCTGCGAGGCCTGCGGGGCTCCCGGGGTGGGGCGGGGTTGGGGGCGCAGCGCGCCACCTCACCCTGGCAGGTCTTTGCGGCCCGATCCACGGCGCTGCGGTCGGCTGGGGTGGGAGAGCATCCTTTGACTCTAATCACGCCAAACCCTCGTTCAGTGTAGGCGGTAAGAGACGTCGGGGACTGAGGCCTCCCTTACCAGGCACCTAAAATCTTTCCTCCGATTGGGCTAGTTCGCTCTCGGGGAAGATCTACACCTCCTACATCCACCCTCTACCTCTCATTTTAAGCCCCTTGTGCCTGAGCATTTCTCTCCACGTGACTCTTAAGGTGAGAAACCTGTTGCCCATTCTCTTTACTCCGTAATTAATGGGTGTTTTTACCAGTCTACTCTGCTGTCCGGAAAATTGGGAGTTGGGGATATCCTAGGTACAAAGCAATACTGAAAGAAGCATTCTGGACATTTCCCTGACGCCAAAAACATCTAAACTGCCTTCCCACGTTTGCTGAAGTGTACCTCTGCCTTTCCTATCCTGAGTCATAGACTGTCCTCTGCTTGCTAAAGGGGTTTCCTTGCATCTCCAGCCTAGGGTTGGGCCCTGCCCTAGACGGTGGACAGACTATTTAGGGCTAATCCAGCCGCGGCTTCCATGCTGGAAATTAGGATCCCGTTGTGTGTAATTCTTGGAGTAAGTGGTCAAAAGTAAAATGACTCTGTGGGCTCTGAAGTCTTTTGGGTGTGAACTAGGTGGTCAAAACCTTTTTTGTAAGCAGGGTGCTAGTGACCCACCTGACGCTCTTGTGTAAATTAGAAGACACTAAATAGTAAGCTGCTGGGAAACTGTTAGAAGAAATAAATATTATGTTTAGATGGGTCCAACACCCTGAGTTAGCAGCCCTGTCTGTAAGCAGGTTTCTAACTTGTAGCCAAGAGGGATCTGTATACCCTTTGTGTAGGACATGTCTAAAAAGCCTCTCTTTATTGGATACTTCCTCTCCAAGTGATGCCTGGGATCACCAATCAAATAGTTTCAGGTGGCATTTTCCATAGGTGGGGCTGTGTTCTGGTTAAGAGCTTGGAACCACACTGCCTGGATTTGATTCTTAGTGTGTCTCACCATTGTGGCCCTTTAAGCAAGTTACTTAATGTCTTTGGTTCTTTATCTATAAAATTTAAGTTAAGGAATAAATAGGAATGCATTAAAACACTTAGCACAGAGACTAGGCCTGATGGCTCACACCTCTGACACCCAGGTAGGAGTAATGTATGATACCAGTCTGGACAACATGATGAAATTCTGTCTCTACAAAAAATAAACTCAGCCAGGTGTGGTGGTAGGTACCTGTAGTCCTAGCTACTCTAGAGGATTGCTTGAGCCCAGAAGTTCAAGGCTGCATTGAGCTATAATGGCACTGCATTTTAGCCTGGGCAGCAAAGCAATAACCTGTCTCAAAAAATAAAAAAAATTAAAAGCCCACTTAGCACAGGAGGCCTACTACAGAGTTCAAGTTCAAGAATAACCAAAGTGTTTTGGGATGGGGAAGGCTATCAAGAATGGGCTGTAACTTGCTCAGGAATTAGGGGTTGGAGGTGGGGGACAAAGATGGTTAATTCATGTTTTACCTGATCCAGAAAAGTAAGGACTCCATCCCTGTCTTGCTAGTACTACCAAGCAAATAATAGCTACTTGGCCCTCTAGAATTGATCTTCAGACGGTGGTCACTGTCAGTAAGATGGACTGTGGTGGGAGCTCAATAGGGGCCTGGCTACCTGCAGCCCTGGGTGTGCTCTGAGGTGGGAGCTGCAGGTCTCTGCCCAGGGCAGGTGTGGCTGCAGTGACACTTTCTCCTGCAGGTGAACATGGGCTTGTGCGTCTTAGGCATTATTGTGATGGCGACCACCAATTCCCTGATGTGGACCTTTTTCAGCCGGGGCCTCAGTTTCTCCATGTCTTCAGCCATTGCATCTGTCACAGTGACTTTTTCAAACATCCTCAGCTCGGTGAGTAGCCAGAGGGTATGGTGCCTGTGTCCTAAACCTGAGTTCTAGGTGAGTTGTCCTTGGGAAGCCTCCGCTATTTTGGATAGGAACTGAAACAGGTTTGGCTGTGGCTTGACCTCTAGATAGCTGCTCCTCTAATAATGGAGCAAATCTAATACTCATCATAGAAGGATTCTCAAGTTAGATAGGAATGAAGTCTACTTGCTTGCTGTCCCACCAGCATGGAGCCCTCTTTCTGAAGTCCCTGTAGAGCTGTACCCTTGAACATGAAACGTAGAGTTCAAGGCTCCCAGAGGCCGTTCTTCTGTCTGCATTTCAGGTTAACATAGTGGAGCTGAGCCTAGTAAGTCCTGAACTGAGGGAGGAAGGACTCGGTAGCCCAGCATGGGTCAGTGAACACCGAGTACCAGCTGTGCCTCCTTGGCAGCCTCTGCTGCACCATTCTTGTATACCTTGCTGGGGTCCAGTGCTGTGCAGGAGGTAGCCTCCCCACTCCTGCAGGTGACAAGGAAGTGAATGGAGTGACTGAAAGTTTTGAGCCCGGGGCTTCTGGTGCCAAACCTTTTCCTTCTGGCCCCCTTAGGAAAGAGGTCAGCCCCAGGGGTGAGATTGTGCCCACTCACCGAAGTCAGGTCCCTCACAGCTGTCTCTGACCTACAGGCCTTCCTGGGCTATGTGCTGTATGGAGAGTGCCAGGAGGTGTTGTGGTGGGGAGGAGTGTTCCTCATCCTCTGCGGACTCACCCTGGTACACAGGAAACTCCCACCTACCTGGAAGGCCCTTCCACACAAGCAGCAGTAACACCAATTGGCTGGACAGACTAGCTTGAAAGATAACGATGGCAGCCCTGCCTCAGGTTGGTGTGTGGGACTGCTTCCCAGGGCAACCTGGGTGTGCAGCCTTCCGACCCTCAGGCGAGAGAAGATGCTGCCCAGCCAGGCCTTTGGGCTAGCCCCGCTCCCAAAGGAGGCAGGCTTCTGACAGAGCAGCCTTGAGGGTGGACAGCTCTGGCTTCTGTAAGGGGAGTCCAGCTGCAGCAGTATTCTGCCTGAAGCATTCTTGGTGATCTGTACAGCGCTTTTCATTCTCATGCCCCCAGGCCCACCCCAGTGAGCCTTGGCAGATGCTGGAGATCCTGGGGTTGGTCTACTTTGTGTATGGTACTTGAAATCACGCTGTAATTATAGTCCTATTGCCTAACAAAGGCTAGTTACGTAATTCTAGATCAGTGACTGGTGGGGCTTTCTGATAATTCCTATGCCAATATACCAGGCCACCTGTCATGCTTATGTATTATGGCAAGAAAAGGAAAACTGGGTTAATAAATACTGTTTTGTAAGTTAAAACCACCATGTATGGGATCTTAATTCTTTCCTCCATTGTGGAGGAAGAGGGAGCAGCTACGCTAAGCTGAGTCCCTGGAGTAGAGGAGGCAGGTGTGCTGGCTCTGCCCACCAGCCCCCCTCACAGTGTGCTTCTCAGCTGCTCTGCTGCCTCCAATTTCATCATTTCTTCTTGAGGTCACACAAGGCAGGACTCTTGAAATTGAGAAAGATCTGTTTATTCCCTGGGTGTTCTCAAGGAGGAAAGTTTGACCTCCCTTTGGAGACCTTGCTTTATTTTACTTAGTAGGAAAGGAAACTGGTCCGGAGGTTCTCCACTCTCCCCACTTTACCTTTAGGTCTTTTCTGCCCTTTGTTTTCTTTCCCAGATCCCCTTGGTTCTTTTTGTGTCTTACACCACGAGAATGTAATTTCTTGCTCAAAGTGGTCTGCTGGCTGCCTGTATACTCTCCCAGCACAGAGCTGCTCAGTTCTTCCCTGGGGGCACCTCTGGGTGTCCCAGGACCCTCTCAGCTCTCCTGAGCCTGATCTCTGAGCCCAAGTGTTGTTCCTCATGCATTCCTTGTGGTTGAGAGGAACCTGGTGGGCAGGAGGATGAGAGACAGAGGATCTTGTCTGGGCTTCTCCTCCCTGCCTAAGTGGCGCTTCCATTGCCCTCCTTCCTTACCCACCATCTGCCTATTGATTGAATGAGTTTGCTAAATTTTACTTATTTTTTTATTTAAAGCATGTAATTCAATAGTATTCTAGTATATTTACAAGATTTTCTTTTTTTTTTTTAATTTTTATTCACAAGATTTTTGATCATTACTAGTCCCAAAGCATTTTTTTACTCACAAAAGAAACTCCTACCATTAGCAGCACCTCTCCATTCTACCCTCCCAGGCCCCTGGGAATCACTAATCTATCTCCATAGATTTGCCTGTTCTGGACGTTTCATACAAATGGGTCATATAATACGTGACCTTTGTGTCTTTTTTTCACTTAGCATAATGTTTTAAGTCTCATTCATTTTGTAGCATATTATCAGTTCTTCATTCCTTTGTATGGCTGGATAATGTTCCAGTGTGTGGATATATCACATTTTGTTTATCCACTTGGACATTTGGATTGTTTCTTTCTGGCTATTGTGAATACTGTGCACATTTGTGTACAAGCTTTTATGTGAACATGTTTACTTTTCTATTAGTATATACCTAGGAATAGAATTGCTAGGTCATATGATAACTCTGTTTAACTTTTTGAGAAACTACCAGATGGTTTCCAAAGCATTGTACCATTTTACATTCCAACCATCTAAGTGTGTTCCAGTTTCTTTATATCCTTGCCAACATTGTTACTGTCCATTTCGTTTATTATAGCCATCCTAGTGGTATCTCATTGTAGTTTTGATTTGCATTTCTGTAATAATATCAAGTATCTTTTCTGTGGTTATCAGTCATTTGTATATCTTCTTTGGAGAACTGTCTACCTAGAGTCTTTGCCCATTCTTAAATTGGATTATTTTTATTTTTGTTATTGAATTGTAACAGTTCTGGAAACAGGTCCCTTGTCAGGTATGTGATTTGCAGGTATTTTCTCCCATTCTGTAAGTTGTCTTTTTACTTTCTTGATTTTTGTCTTTTGAAACACAAATGTTAATCCAGTTTTTTTTCTTTCTTTTTTTTGCTTGTGCATTTGATGTCATATCAAAAAGTCTACTGCCAGATCAGAATGTGAAAGGGGCCAGATAATGCAAGGCCTCTTGTAGACCATTAGAAGGACTTTGACTTTCACTCTGGGTGTGCAAAAAAGAGCTGATCTGACTAATATCTTAAAGGGATCCCTCCCATACAGAGCACACACTATAGAGGGCAAGAGCAAAAGTGGGAACACCTTTTAAGAGGCCATTACAGCCATCCAGATGGGAGGAGGGGGCTTTGATAACAGTGAAAGTGGTAAGAAGTGATCAGACTAAATAATACCTTTCAAAGCCAGAGCCACAGATTTGCTGATGGCTTAGATGTGGGTATGAGAGAAAGAGATGTCAATAGTTCTTATATTGTTTTACTTGAGCAATTTGAAGAATGAATATTTCAAAAATGAAATGAAGACAGGAAGAAAGCATGATTAGACAAATATCAAGAGCTTGCTTTTGAACCTGTTAATTTTAAGGTTCTTGTAGTAATACATTCAGGTAAAGTTTTGGATAGGCAGGAGGACTTATGAGTCTAGAGCTCAAGGAGATGCCTAATGATCATCAGCAGAGAGATGGTATTTGAAGTCATGACCGGATGAGTTCTTCTAGAGAAAAGAAGCCTAGTGGGCGGTGCCTCTGGCTCAGTGAATAGGGCGCCAGCCCCATATACTGAGGATGGGGGGTTCGAGCCTGGCCCCGGCCAAACTGCAACAAAAAAATAGCCACACATTGTGGTGGGCACCTGTAGTCCCAGCTACTCAAGAGGCTGAGGCAAGAGAATTGCCTAAGCCCAAGAACTAGAGGTTGCTGTGAGCTGTGATGCCATGGCACTCTACTGGGGGAAACAAAGTGAGACTCCATCTCTTTAAGAAAGAAAAAAAAAA